AGGGGGGGGGGGGGGGGGGGGGGGGGGGGGTTGGGGAAATAAAGCAGAAAAAAAAAAGATTGGTAATGTTGTTAGCCCAGGTGCCAATCTTTAAAATAAATAAATAAATAACTAAAAGCATCAAAAGATGTGATCCCTTCCCAGCTCCAAACTGTTGGCTCTGACCTTGGCTTCCATTTCTCCTTGGTCCTCTGGACTTGGTGATTGTGTCTTGTCTCCCTGGGTAGTGTCTAGACCTAGGATTTCTAGAGGACCTTTCCATAGGCCAGGCCTTGCTGGGGCTTAGCATCCCTGGCTGTCTCATTAAGAATGTGTGTTCCAGTTCCACCCTAGAAATACAAACCCTCACGCTAGAGCTGGGCTAAGCCATGCACTTACCTTTTCTGGACCTCCCCCCACCACACTCCTTCTCTGCCCCCTAAGCACACATACACACTCATGCAAGGTAAACCAAGTTGTCACTGAAGACTTTAGATATGTGGTTGGTTGATAGAAATTCTCCTGGAGTAAAAGCTCCTCTTTAAAAATTGAAATACACTAAGAGGATTGAGCCTAGTAGCTTTATTAATGCAATTTGTGAAATATTGTGAACATGTTAGCAGCTCTGCACACTAGCAGTCAGGGACTGAGGATCTTTCTGGGGCAAGGACAAAGGGGTAATTTTTAAGGGGGTGACGAGGAAGAGAGTCAAATAGGGCAAAAGAGTTCCTAGTTTGCTTTCGTGCCTAGACCCTTGGTGGGAAGCCAGCGACCACCAAAACCCTGAAAGTCATCTTGCCCTTTCAGCAGGCTGCCAGTGCCTGGGTTAAGTTATCAGGACTAAGTCAGAAAGCTCCAAAGATGATTATCTTCCAATTTAGTGCAATCTTCCCAGGCCAGGCAAGCGCTGCTCAGCCTCCAGGTCAGCTTAGTTTGCCTCCATTCAATGCCTTCTCCGACCTTAACGAGTAAAAGGGAAACAAGAGAAAGAACTAACCTCATTTACTCCCTGTCCTGATTTATTATTGATATGGTATTTGGAGATGTTCAAACTATAAAAAGAGCCTTTGTATATTTCATTTGAAAGGGAGGCCTGCAAAGGAGGTCCCCCAAAGTGTTAGAACTGAACGTACGCAACGCCATAGGAATTTTACTTCCTCACAGGTACAGCTACATTTGCAAATCAAATCACTGAACTGAAATCACAGAACATTAGAACCGAACAGAATCTGGATGATAGATCTACCCTCATTTTACAGATGAGGACTTTTAGGCTTAGAAGGTTAATTAGCCAGTAACTGGCAAAGCAGGTCCCAGAACCCAAGTGTCCAGACTCCCAGTCTGGGGCTTTCCCATCAGGGAATATATCCAAACCCTTGCAATTGTATCCCACCCTCATAGCCTGTAATTATATTTGGTTCATTGGACTTAAAAATACCATGCAAACGGCACTCCGATTATAAGAAATCTTGATCGATACAAACAAATGCAAAAAATCAACTGGCCCATCATTTCCACCAAAGGACTGAGGCAGTACACTTTTATTCTTTATAAGTATAAAATAAATTGTCATTGCCTGGGCCCCTACAGGACTGGATTCTTGTATCAGTCAAGCCAGCTCACTAACAGCTTGCCCAGATGACATCCAACACTTTTTACCCCAGTCCCGGTCAGCTGGTGATGTAAACTGGGCAGGAAGCTTATAAATTTTCCCCTGGTAGAATTTTGGAAGAACTGTGTAAACAACGCCCCTTGCTGGTCAACAGAAGAATAAGCGAAAGCCACTGCTGACAAATTCAGGGCTCTAGCAAAGGTCCCAGCCTTGTCTCTAAGTCGTCTTCTAGTCTATAGGAACGGTGGCCAGGTTAAGGAAGAAGGCATGAGGAAAACAGTAGGGGGAGAATAAATTGCATTTTTCTCCTGAGATGTTTATATGTGCCTAATTAAGGTTAGATCTCAAAGAAAGCAGATACATTTTCAGTATCCCATAGAGTCTGAACAGGCACTCTAAGACCCACAGACACATGTTATGCTTATACACATAAACAAGATTTTTATTGTTAACATCAATGAACACTGATGGAAGAATATTCATGTGCCAAGGACACATTGCTCACAAGATCACAAAATGGCTGTTGATTTGTATTCATAAATGATTTGGTGAATCGAATCACTACATGTCTTTGAGTGAAATATATATAAAAAAGGCTTCTGACGCTTCGTTTTCATTTGGACTCTCACAATAGCTTCATTAGAAAGCAGAAGCTTTGAAGTTAACATCTATACGTTTTACAGATACTCGGATTCACCAAAAATGAAAATTATGTCCCATTACACACACTTTAAGTAGTACACAAAGAAAGCACAAGGAACACTGATTTGGCTCAATGATTTGCCTAATGAAAGGCTTTTTTTTTAAGTTTTAAAACAAATCCCCTGTAAAGCTGTTAAGGGCACTTGATGATGTTACAGAAGCAAAGTGTTTTCGAAGCAACTCCAGAGCCCTATTATTTCTTGCTTGCAGGATCTTCTCAGCTCGCAGTTCATTCTTGATGGCATCAAGCTCTCCACGGATCTTCTCCATTTCTAATTCATAATACAATTTCATTTCTTCCCTTAGGAGTGCATTGCCCAGCTCAGTCTGACGCTTTAACTTCCTAACAGCTTCTTTCAAATCTCTGTTCTCCAGGCTCAACTTGTGGATGACTTCTTTGGCTTGTTGGAGCTCTTCAGTTAAGTTTTTGACATTTATTGCTTTTTCAGATAGGTCATTTCTTAAAGCTTGAAGTTCCCAGTCTTTCTTCGAAGTTTCCATCCCTGTTCCTTGAAAATTTAGGTGTTTTGCGGAGACTACTCTTTTGGAGTTCAAAAGTTCTTTCTCAGCATTTTCAAATTCCTCTTCTATTTCTTTGCATTTCATCTTTAGCTCTTCCAGTTCTTCATTCAGAAGATTCAGGCGAAGTTTGGGAGACATTCCTTTGGTAAATTTCTTCTTCTTGTCCTTCTTGTCTTGTCGCGGTGGAGTTGGTAACTCCTTTGTAGTCCAGGTGGAATGACCATCTGTGCTATTCAAGCCTTCTTTGGCTGCAACACCCAACTTAGATGCTTCACAGGAGGCAGAATTTGCATCTGCTTCATTCTTTGAAATGTTTATCTTTCTCGCTCTTAAATTTGGTCCTTGTCCTTTTTCATTTAGTTGGGAAGTAAATTCTTTCCTCTTGAATTTACTTTCTTCTTGAAACTTTCTGCTAGACAAATTATAAACTCCTTCCATTTTCTTGGTCTTCTCTGAAGTCTTTTGTTCAGAAGAAGATTCAGGCTGGTCTAGAACATCCTGGGCACTAAAGAAAGGAGCAAACATATTCTCCTTCCAGTGTTTTCTTCTAGCATCCATTTCTTCAGGCACCTCTCCCAATTCCTGAAAAACAAAATTTAAAATCAAGGCACCTTATTTACACTGGCAGCTGGTGTAGTGGAAAGAACTAAGAACGCTGGCTCTTGGGTGAAAGAACCTAAATATTTGAGGACTGGCTCTCCCTCTAACTTGCTGAGTGGCTTGGCTTTCAGTCCCTCATTTATAAAACGAAAGGGCTAAACTAGCTAAGTTCTGCAGACCCCTCCAGCTTTAAAATTCTCTGACCCCATGAAATTCAACCAACAAACTGACACATTTGGCTATTTATTACAGATAGAGAAAATAATTCTGTGTGAAAGCAACCATACGCATGAAAACAGACTGCTTCAAAATAGTAAAAGTCATTAAAAATTAAGGTTGATATTAATAATAGCTTAATACCTGTGGTTCTAACGTGCCTGATTTTTTTCCTAGTTCTTTTGGGTTGGACTACTGTTTATTCATTCTTTAAAGTGACTAAAACGTCAGGGCTTAATGCAACGTGAGCTGCTTTGGGGAAAGTATACCATGCAGACTTCCTTATGACTAACTCTGCCAAATGCCCTTCTGCGTTGACCTGTAAATTCCTGCTATTCCAGTCTCAGGCTTTGCTTCTAGGCAAGACTGCCAAGTGTACAGAATTCTATCCGTTTTGACAGCAATTTCATGATGAGAACCGAATGTCAACAATTGGAAATATTAATGCCGCCAAATGCGTTTTTCTCAAGATACTGACCCCAAGTGCAGTTTTTAGGTGAAAACTTAGCATGCCAAAAAACAACTTTCTAAATTTATAAAAATTACAGGATATCTATTTTGTTTCAAAAGGAGTCTTTCCTATACAAAGAGAATCCATAAGATACAGCTTTCCTAAAGCACGGAAATGTGAGCAGTAACTACTTCTGAGAGAAGGGAGAGAGGACCCAAGCAACATGCTGAAGGGCCACTGGCATCTCAAGCCACCAAACTGGCAACTGCAGTTACTGCTAAAGGGTGGGAAGAAGAAGGGAGGCATCACTTTACTCACTTTATACATTAATTTGCTGTCATATGTTTGTAGCATCATCACGGAGAAAAATCAAAGCATGCCCGCATCTGTTTTTCCCATGCACACAAATGTAATTTTATCTTGGTAACGAAAAATGGCAATTGTGTTTATTTTTAATTAATATTCTCTTTAATGTTATTACAGATTATAAGTGTTTTACTATTGTGTTCTTTAATATATAATATATATTTATATAATATGAAATATATAAACATAATATGCCATATTATATAAATAGTATAATAGTGGTGCATGTTATTTGTAGAATTTTGGAAAATACAGAAAAGCACAGAAAACAGAAAGAATCTCCCTCATAATCCCCTGAGATAACCACTTTCTGGTATACTATCTCTCTAGTATTTTCTTTTTAACAACAGTAGTTTAAATTTTAACAGACTTTCCTTGCTACAGCTCATGAGAGAATAAACCTGATACCTCTGTGTACTGAACATGCCTGACCCCCTCACCCCCCAAAAGAAGGAAGGGACTCGCTATCCCTAAGGGTACATCCCCACTGGCCACTCCTTGGCTTTGAGGAAAGGGAAAGGTACAAATATTCAGTGAAAGTGTTAAAATGAGTGGTTCAAAACCCAAAAGCCAAGCTTTATTAAAGTTTGGTCGATCAGACCATAGTAATAAGCTGAGACTCAAAATTCATAGGATACATTCGCCATTGCAGCATCGTGTCTCTTCTCTTGAAACAGTCCTCTCTGACTTCCATGATTTCACTAGTCACCAGCCAGAAGCACTGTGAGCTATCTGTTCTTAAAGGGGAAGATAATCAGAATCCTGGTTTCTCTCCTCTCTAGGAATATGAATGCAAATGATTGGGAAGTATGATAGCAATCGTAAAGGAAGGGAACAGAGAGAAGATGGTGATGCTAATTGCAGTCACATTTTTTAGCAGTCAAATTTTTACCAGACAATTCTGTAAAAGGTGAAAATGCTTCTAATCAGGTAGTAATGGGAGAGAGACTCCTCCTCCTATCTAATTCTGGCTGAAAGGCATTGGCGAGACAGATCAGGAAGGAGGTGTGCAGAAGGGCAAATAAGGTGAGGCCACTTTATAGCTGGAGAGAGCAATAATGACAAATCTGAGAGGAGATCTGGGGATAGATAAAAGTTAAGATAGAAAACGCTTTTCATTAATAATTTTGCTCCTTGCAAATGTGACTTCTATCTCCAACCTTCCCATAAATCTCTGGCAAAAGATATACATATTTTTTTCTTTAATTTCACTACTTTTCTTCCTTGAGCCTCTGTACAATTTCCTTTATAGCCAATGCTTTTCACAGAACTGGGAAGAGTCCACTTATTTTATAACTGAGGCTCAGAGAAGTTAAGCGATTTGATCAAGGCCACACAGCCTGTAGCGGTAAAACTGAGACCCTCTCTCCCAGGTCAGCGCCTCTTCTAAAATTCCTCTTTATTCTTCTGCTAGATTTCATTCCACAAATTGAAATAAAACAACCCACTATTTTCAGAGCTTAGGTATTTTTTAAAGGGCCACAAAGGGAGAGAGGAAAAACGAAGGGGGGGAGGGGAAGGAGAATTGCATGTCACATATCAAAGGACAGAAAGAGAAAGGTTTGAAAAGCCTTTTGGAATTTCCCTCCCATGGCTTACACAGGGCAGGGTCAAGGGGTCTCTGAGCTGCTCCTTTCTTTCTTTTCTTTTTTTTTTTTCCTGTCTTTCATTGGCAAGATATCCTTTAAGGGCTTGTTCCCAAACCTAGTCACAAAGTATGGCAAAGCCCAGACTGGGGGTAAAAGCTGCCAGTTTCATTTTCTCTTCGCAAATTGCACTGTTTGTTTTTTATGCAGAACAAGTATGACATTAGTATTCTCTGGCCAGGACAAGGAATATGCTTTGAAACAATGACATTCCTCTACCCTGGCGTGGCAGCCATTTTGCTCTCAATAAACTTGATTAGGTAATTCGTTGCAGCAGAAGGCAAATCTAACCAGAAGCCATTATTAAAAGTACAAACATGCCTTTTTAGTGGGTCAGTTGTGAACATTTCTTATTATAAGTGCCCACCCCACACTACATCGGATACTGAAGGGCTGAAGGGTAGGGGAAGGAGGCCCAAGAGAAATGATAACTTTAAAGAAACAAATAAGCCAGAACACAGGAAAACAATATCAAGTTGTGTGATACAAACAACATTAGGGGGTCCTCTAAGACGGTGATCCCCCAGAAGTCCTTGGGACTGCACTGTTAAGGCATGGGTGTCCATAATCCGGCTACGTCTATTCATTTGTGTCTCACGTGAATTAATAACGGACTCTCGATGGTTCTAGTTAGCATCTGCCCGAAAACATCACCATTCACCCTCTGGTGACTTTCTTCTTTTTTGCAGTGGCAAAGCAGTAGGGCATTTTGGCGGAGTAAGGAACTCCTTGACTCATGTAAGTGGTTTATATTCACCTAAGAATTTGGGCACCGCTGACAAAATAAATTGAAAATGAATTTACAGTGTAATGTGACGTAACATAATTATTGAGAGCGAAACAAAGAGTAATCATTTATTATGGATCTTTAGGTAAACCGTTCCATAAAATTCTTAAGTGAATGCACATCTATCCTCAAACTGCTCCAGAAAATAACACCCTACTGTTCCCTGTGAAAGGAGAAACCCACAAAACCGTCTTCCTTTCATTTTCAAAGTCTGGGGCCCTGGGGAATATACTCATGTTAAGGTGGATAAGTGATCAAATATGTGAAATTTAATTATTTGTTTTCTAAAATATTCATATTTTAAATCACACTCTTTAGGGAAATTTGATGACAGAAAAAAATCAAACCTCTTTTTTCTGTTGCCTTATCTCATTTACATCAGAATTTGACTTCAAACCTTCAGGACCATCTCTTTTGCATAAATCGAGATCTGTCTGCAGCATGCGACTCTTCTTCCAGGTGGGGGTGGGCAGGGACTGGGAAACAGATCTGGGAAAGCTCCAGAAGCTTTTTCCCACCTCACAAGGGTGCTTCATCTTAAATGTTGTAACTTGGGAATGATGGTTGCAAAAGGTCATCTCCAACCTGTGATGGGCAACCTTCTGTCACTACCCTCAGCCCCCCGCAACTAGAGGCGTGGCTTTTAGTCACAGCCCAGAAGCAGCAAGGGGAAGACAAAGGGCCCTTCTTAGCCCAGGGAACTTTTCCCCATTATTCTCGGATGGTTTCAGTTCTCCCAACCCTCAGAAAAACTGCTTGGCCAAAACAGGGGGGAAAAGTCTACTACAAAGAAAGTCACCGGCCTGGCTTCTTTGCTCCATTGTCCAATCTGTTCTCACTTAAAAGCAGTAGTTCTCAACTTTTTTTTCTACTTCCACCGTTCCCAGGCACAAAACACTGCCGGCCTTACCCTCTCTCCTTACTCGAGAAGATTCCAACCTGCCCCCTCTAGAGGAGCTTCCATATTCTCTGCCCTCTTCAGAATTACCGGCTTGCAGAAAACTACTCAACACCAAAATGAGGACCCAAATGAACGGTCTGAAGTCAAGGTGGGTGAACACGTTTTACTGTGCAGAATTGTGGGGAAGAAGGCAAAGGAAGTTCTTGAGAAAAGAACTGAGTGTGGACTACGGTGAAAAAACAGACGGAAAGAGTCACATATCTTTGCTCCCACACTTTAGAACTCTGTGAAAACTTACCTTTTGTGAGCCTCAGCTGCTTCGGGTGTAAAATAGGGACAATCTACCTATTTCACAGGTGGTTAAGAGAAATTAATGAAAACAAAAATGGAAGCAGTTTTAAAGTACACTGGAAATGACAGGTTTTGTTCTTTTTTAGGTTTTCCTTCCCCTCCCTTGGAGCATAAACCAGCCCGTGAACCAACCCAACCCTTCTCCAAAGATATGTGCTCCAAAGTTGCCAGCCTGAAGTCATCAGCCCTCAGAAAAAGTTAATTTGAAAAAAAAAAAAAAGTAGGCACCATTAAAGGAAGCAGAGGACAACCAAAACTCAAATTTTACATTAATTTAACCTGCATCCTCAGCAAAGAATCAGCCCTAAATCCGGCGAGTTACTGATGCTCCCAATTTCTGAAGCTAACTTGATTCCAGCTAAGCAGAAATGTGGTAGTCTTTGCATTTTTAGCACCAACTGCTTTACCAAGAACTTCCCAGATGCCCCAGTGCTTTTCAGAGCCACTAATAACTTCTTTGAAACATTACAATTGGAGGATCAGCTTAAAGATGAGGAAGGATGACTCTGTGCTGAGTTTTTCCTGTGCTTCTACAGCATTTCATACATACTTTTATTTTACCAATACACTGTGATCTCTTGGCATCTTACTCACTTCTGTATCCCTAGCTGTTACCCGGCACAGAGTAGCCCTCAAGAAATATCTGTTGAATAAATGATCCTTAACAGTCTTCCTGAAAATTCTATAATGCTTTGATTCGAATTGAGTTTTTGTACTTATAATTTCTCCTCTGCCTTATGAAGTTTTCTGGGGGACATTTTAGGGAAAGGACTTAGTACTTTTCCCTCCAAGTTTATTCGGCTCAGCTAAAGTCTTCAGGACGCTTTTCTTTTGTAGTCTTATGAGGCCTTTTTGATAGTGTACTGACATTGCAGATTAATGATCTAGTTACAAAGTGGAAGATGTATGTTGGGTGAGGCTCTGTGCTTCGAAACACTCCAACAAGATATCAGCCAGCACAACTGTACTTACGCTTCCTGACGTCCAAGGTCTTCTACTGGATGCTTTTATTCTCTTTCTCCAGTTTGAGCTGAAAAATCAAATCCCCCCAGCGTATCAGAAAATACGAATAACCAGAAGGCTCAAAACTGTGTTTATGTCTGAAATGTAGCTGAAAATTACAAGTGATTTGCTTAGAATGTCCTTTGGCCTACCTGAAATGTGATGCCAGACACTTTGAAACAAGTTTTCTTTCTAATTTGTCAACTCACTTTCCCAACGATTGTGCGGCTAAGTCTTCCTTCCCCAAGCAATGCAAATATCAAATGGGATGAGAATCAAGGTGGCATCTTATTCAACACAGTATCTCCTCCCCTTTAGCACCTATTGAGCAAATGAGCCACCGCTGGCCTCAGCAGCAGCATGCTTATTATTAATGAGCATGCCAAGAGCCACGTTAGCAGAGGGCTGGAGCCTAGGCCTTGCCTCCCTCCCTCGGAGTACAGTTAATTTGAAAAATCATTCAAAAGGGAAGTGATTCCGATTTTTGCCTTAAATCTTTCAGGCTCCTAACATATGAGCCAAGTGTCCAATAGAGAAGGACAAATGGCCTTCCCTATTGTTTGGCAGTTACTGAGAGCGAAGTAAAGTTGTAAACTGGGCCCTGTGAACGGTTATGACCCCCAACTCTTTGTTATTGGCGTAAAATCATTCCTTGTGGGAGAAGAGATACGAAGTCACCTTAGTTGCGAAGCCTGAGTACTTTATTAGGATGGAAGTCACATTCTTGCTGTAAAGCTATATCTATGCATAGTTTGGGTTTGTTTTCTGTAAATGGTTAACTGAAACTCCTGCCATCGCTGCGTCCAGTGGAGAGAAGGTGACTCAGGTCGGGCCGCTGCCCTGACCCCCACCGCAGGCGACACCTTCCACCTCCCCAGTCCCTACCCTCCGGCTGGGCTGGCGGGCGGCGGGGAGGGGGCGGCGGGCGAGGCCTGAGCCCACTCCCCCTTCCGCACTCGCACTCCCCCGAACTGTGCCCTTCCCTCCCGTGCGCGCCAGCGCCCGGCCTGGAGCCCGAAGGAGAGGAGAGCCCGCAGTGGGTCGCGGCAGGGTCGGCGGGCTCCTCCGAGCTGGGGCCCCGACGGCCGAGCCAGGAGGAAGCGGGGCGAGCCGGGGAGCCCGGGCTTTCCGACGCGCGGACGTACCTGGAGGCGCGGGTGGGGTCCAGTGGGCCCTGTCCCTCGTCCTCGAAGCTGGTCACCACCGGCGGGCGGCAGCCCTCGGTTCGGCGCTGGCCACCGCTCCCGGCCACTCCGGCCAGAGCCTCCGCAGTGCAGCGCCCGCGCGGGCCGCGCCGTTGCCTAGCAACCGGCCGGCCTGATTTAAAGGGAACCAGGCGCCGGGAACCCGCGCGGTGGGTGGGACGCTGCCCCGCGGCAGGCAAAGCCCGCCCCAGCACTGAGCATGCCCCGTGGGGCGGGCCCCCGCGGCGGCGGCTTCGGCTGGCGAGAAATCGGAGCTCCAGTAGCCAGAAAGCTGAGTCAGGGCGGGAAGGGGCGAGAAACTGCGAGGCAGCTCCGCCCACAGTGGGCTTATTACGGAGGGTCTGGATGACTCACAAAGCCACCTGGACACTGCGATTGTGCGAGGAGGAGGGAGTGGCACAGGGTTAATCCCTAGGCCTGCAGGAGTAACATGACGTTGAGGAGGGTTAGCTCTGGGAGGTCGCCTGGATTTGGTTCAGGGTCCCTAAGGATGTGAGAATTGCACCCCACCCTCCCGCCCCCACGCACACCCCTGCCCCTCAGCACGATGGTCTGGCCGGAATTTCTGCCTCTGACCAAGGTTCTAAGGACCTGTGTGAGGAGAGCATTGCCCCCTGGCTGTGCCCCTACGGGAGACTGGGCTTGTATCTCAGGTAGCCCATGGTTTCCTCATTTAGGACTCAGGAATTTCTCCAAACCACTCTTGCCCCATTTGAGTTTAAAATCTATTGCGGGCAACTAGTTCTACACTCCTGGCAGTGTAAAATGGTTTTCTGATATCCAGTCCCCACACTACTGTCCTCGAGCTTCAAAGGTTGCTCCCGACTCCCTCCCGGGATTTGGTTGAGGGAACAAGTCCACGTTTTTCATTATGTTGTAGATTTCGGTCATAGTGTTTTGTTACATAAATAAATGGCCTTCTCAGACTTTGCTTAGCCTGCTTGACCAACACTGATTCTTCCATCTCCAAATTAGCCACACACACTGACCACACACCACGGCTATAGTCTGATTTGGACCCAGCCTGGACCTGACCAAAAGATAGACCCGGCAAAGGTTGGAGGGCCTGAAACAGCAGGACTGGGGTGTCCAAAAGGGTGATAAGAGTGACTTTTAGGAAAGCTAGTATTTTCTAGGAAGCACGAGGGTGAAAGGCAACATTGGCTCTGGAATCTCCAGTGAAAGGAGATGTAAGCCCGTTTACAAAGTGACAATCTAATCCATCAAGACCCAGCAAGGGAGTGACCCAGAAACACTACCAAGATACATTTCAAAGCTTCCTGTAGGGTCCGCCTGGTGGCGCAGCGGTTGGGTTCACACGGTCTGCTTCTCCGTGGCCCAGGGTTGGCCGGTTCGGATCCCGGGTGTGGACATGGCACCACATGGCAAAAGCCATGCTGTAGTAGGCGTCCCACATATAAAGGAGAGGAAGATGGGCATGGATGTTAGCTCAGGGCCAGTCTTCCTCAGCGAAAAGTGGAGGATTGGCAGTAGTTAGCTCAGGGCTAATCTTCCTCAAAAAAACCCCCAGCAAACACTCAGATACAGAGAATAGATTGGTGGTTACCAGAGGAGAAGTGGGACGGGGGAAGGGTGAAAGGGGTAAATGGGCACATGTACGGTGACAGATGGAAACTAGACTTTTGGTGGTGAATACGATGTGGTGTATACAGAAGTCGAATTATAATGATGTACACCTGAAATCAATATAATGTTGTAAACCAGTGTTGCCTCAATAAAAAAAATATGAATCTTTTTTAATTGCTCGGTGCCTCAGTTTCCTCATTTGTACAATGGGAGTAATAATTGTACCTAACTTATAGGAGTGTTGTGAGGACGGAGGTAATGTTTTGAAAACCCATAGGGCAATGCTTGACACATAGTAAAACCTATATAAATGTTTGATATTATCATTAGTATCATTATCTTGTCCTATAAATTCATTGCCCTCCTAAAATGTGAATCGAAACACACTGATGGTGATAACTCAGGGTGTGCTCTGAGAAGCAGAGTCTGAAGTCTCGAGACCCAGAATTCCCAACTTTTATTTCAGGTAGAGTCCCAGACTCCCATTAGGCAGCCCCACTCCGCTCCCATACCCCTGAAAAAATGTACAAAGAGTTCTTTGGTCTTGCTGTAATTCTGTTTTTAAATACGGTGGGTCACTCCTTCATGTACTGTACTCAAAGTATCAAATTGCAGAGAATCAACAGCAATGAGGACAAAGAGTTTTGTTATTCAAAGCTACTGCAGACTCAGAGATAGGTTTTCAAATATGGAAGTCAGAAAACAGTTTACTATCCTCAGGAACTTTTATCAATACCAAGGCAACAAGGCACTTGATAATAATAGAATCATACATTCATACAATGGAGCTCAACCTTCTCATTTTACCGTGTAGGACATCGAGACCCAGAGAAGTAACGTGATTTACCCTTTGATCACACAGCAAAATAAGCTTCTTTTGAGAGCCAACAAATGATCCTAGTTTGAGTAGCCTTAAACCTGGGATATTTGGGGCAATCAAAAAAATATACATTTATAGGTGTTTAAATTATTCATGCAGATAATAATAATAGCTAACATCTCTCACACCCCTGCATGCCATACGTCAGCAGATTCTGTTGGCTGTACCTTCACGATGTATCCAGAATCTAGTGGCTTCTCCCCATCTCCACCATTACCACCCTGATATTGGCCCCCGTCACCTCTTGACCGGGCTATTGCAATAGCCTGCTAACTGCATCGCCTCTTCCCACTGTACCAGTTTCCTAAGGCTGCCGTATCAAACTATCCCAAACTGGGTGGCTTCAAACAACAGACACTTATTCTCTCACAGTTCTGGAGGCCAGAAGTCTAAAATCAAGGTGTCGGCAGGGTTGATTCCTTCTGGAGATTCTGAGAGACATTCTGTCTCTCGTAGCTTCTAGTGGTTGCCGGCAATCTGGAGCCTTCCTTGGCTTGTGGAGGCATCACTCCAATCTTTGCCTCTGTCTTCACGTAGTGTTCTCCCTATGTGTCTGTGTGTCTTCACATAGCTGTCTTCCCTCTGTGTGTGTCTGTGTGCCCAAATTCCCCTCCTCTTGTAAGGACATGAGTTATTGAGGGCCCGCTTTAATTCAATATGACCTCATCTTAACTTGATTACATCTGCAAAGACTATTTATAATAAGGGCACATTCATAATTACTGGGGGGTAAGGAGTTGAGCTTATCTTTTTGGGGGACACAAGTCAACCCACAACACCTGCCCACCATCTATTCTCAACACAGATCCAGACAGACTGCTATAAAATATTAAGTCAGATCATGTTTCCACTTTGCTCAAAAGCCTACAAAGGCTTTCAATTCGACTGGCAGGAAAACCCAAAATCCTTATAATAGCCTACAAGGCCCTGCAGAATTTGCATCAAGAGTCGCTTACGCCCCTACCCCATACACACAATACTTCTCTGCCCTCCTCGTCTGGTACTTTATCCCTTGATGTTTCCACTCCAGCAGCACTGGCTGCCTTGTTCCCAGAACACCCAGGCACCCTCCCACCATTAGGGACGACCTGTTCCCCCTGCCTTGAATGCTCTTCAAGAGATACATGATATCCACGAATCTTATTTCCTTACCCTCTGCGAGTCTTTGTTCAAGTCTTAGCTTCTCTGTGAGGCCTACCCTGACCCTCCCATTTCATACTGTCAATTTTCAACCTCTGCACCATTCCCACTACTCCTTATCCTACTCGACTTTAAAAGAAAAATAGAACTTATTTTCTAACCTACTATATTATGTGGTTTTTCTTCTGTTCTCTCTGACTCCACCCCCAGGCTGCACTACCCTGTAAGCTCCAAGAGGATAGACATCTTTGCTTTGTTCACTGGCACATTCTAAGCACCAAGCACAGTGCCTGGCACATGGTAGGCACTGAACAATTACTTTTTCAGTATTCATTCATATCACGTGCCAGGAGTGTTTCCTCTAACCCTCACAACAATCTTGTGATGTAGGTACTCTCATTACCTATATTTTACAGAAGAGCAAACTGAGGCACACAAAGGTTAAGTAACTTGCCTAAGGTCACATGGTTAGTAAGTGGTGGAGCTGGGGTTTGAACTCAGGCAGGTCTGGCATCCGACTATGCAGCACTGACATATAAAGGGCATCTGAGCACTATATATATGGAAGACCCTATATCCAACTATCTCTTATTCCAACATTCACATTTTCTAACAGTAGGCAATGAACAGTAATAGTTTTTAAACTACTGACATATATTTTGCTAAGATATAGCTTGATGATGTTTGTATATTATGTGCACAAACTGGAGACTTGCTATGTGGGTTCAAATACCAGCTCTACCACTTAGCCGTTATGTGTCCTTGAGCAAATTGCTTAACTTCTTTGTATCCCAGATTCTTCTTTGGTAAACTGGGAGTAATTCTACTTGTGTGAAGTAATCCTACTTCACAGGGTGGCTGTGAGGATAAATTAGTTAATAAATGTAAAGGAATTAGAACTGTGCTTGGCAAACAGAAAGCGCCCGATAAGTCTTAGCCGTTAGTAGTAGTAGTCATGAGTATTAAAAGTATCAAATTTTGGGGCCGGCCCATTGGCGCAGCAGTTAAGTTCACACGTTCCACCTCGGCGGCCCGGGGTTCGCTGGTTCAGTTCCCGGGTGAGGACATGGCACCGCTTGGCAAGCCATACTGTGGTAGGCGTCCCACGTATAAAGTAGAGGAAGATGGGCATGGATGTTAGCTCAGGGCCAGGCTTCCTCAGCAAAAAGAGGAAGATTGGCAGCAGATGTTAGCTCAGGGCTAATCTTCCTCAAAAAAAAAAAAAATCAAATTTTGATCCAGTCTTGCCTATAATATAGAAGCTGTTAAACAGGCAAAACTTACCCCTGGTGTTGGACGTTAAAATAATGATTACCTTAGGGGAGATAGTGACAGGGAAAGGACACTAGGCAAGCTTCTGGGGTTTTGGTAATGTTCTGCTTCTTAATCTGGGCACTGTTTACATGGATGCACTTACTTTGTGAAAAATCATGACGTTCCACACTTAAGATTTGTACATTTTTTCTGTTTGTGTACCTCGATAAA